GGCATCTTGTAATACTAAACATCAAAGAATTAGTCAGGATTATGCCTGAATATTATTATTTTCTTAATTTTTCAGAAGTGTCTAAAAGTTTTGTGAAAGAAGAACAAAGCACAGAATTGTACGAAGCAAAGAACTAAAATTTTAAGATTGATAGAAAAGGTGCTTTTACATTCATCATTAAAAGAAAAAACCATTGTGTTTAAGTAGCAATGTGCCACTGAAAGAAAAACTCTCATTTAAATATCCTCACAATTTTTATTCCATGTGGCTTAAAAGATTTTAAATTGGGATCAAAAGAATTGATTTTTTTTTATTGCAGTGATAAGGATTTAATTAGTTCTGCACAGTTACTGAAATATATTTATGTAAGTAAGCTGGGATTTATCAAGGTAAGAAAAGAAAGGTAACGACAGCTTATATTTATGTAAAGCTAGGATTTATCAGGCAGGCAAAATAGGCAAAAAGACAGGCAAAATAGGAAAAGAGATTTTACCTATTTTGCCAGATCACAGGATTTATTTATTGAGATAAACAGCTTATTAAAGCTGGGATTTATTGAGGTAAATCTAATGTTATTATGCATAAATCAAATGTTATGCAGTCTGTTACACACATTTTAAGGGGGAAAATAATGCTGCACAGACACATCCTCTGTCCTCCATATTAGGTGGGAAGGACTGAGAGATAATCAAAACCACTTTGGAGAGAGGATACAAAAATTCACTTGCTATGCACTAGAAGATTTAATTCCAGATTGCAGATTTTAAAAAGAACTCTTAGTCCCCAAAGCTGAACCAGCACATCGGGCACATATCTCAACTCAGATGCACAGAAACCATGAAGGAGAAGAGACAACTATGGCTACATTCAAATGGTGGTAGAACTGTCATAGTGGTATAAGTAAAAAGGCATAAAATGTGGAAGTTCCATTCACATCTGTGATGCAGAGTCGCACAGAAATTTGAAAAGCTAAATTTGCATATGCGTGAATGTGTCTACAGCTTTCCCACTCAATTGGTTTCGCACGTTCAAACCAATTTTGGTGACATGGCAAGGCCTGGTCATCTAGCAATGAAGCTTGGCTTAAACCAGTTATGATATTTATACCACAGTCTGAACAGAGGGTCAGGCTGCGTTCAGACGGCGGTGTAAAGGGCATAGAGGCATAGTCATAAGGGCATAAAATATGGGAGTTCCGTTCACACCTGCGAGAATGGTGTGTAAGCCGTGGCCCAATAAGAGAAGCTAAATTTGCACATGCGTGGATGTGTCTACAACTTTTCCCTGCTGTTCTTGTGCGATTGATTTCCCGCATTCGCTCTGCTTGTTTTGTAACAGCAAAATCTTCTGTAGAAAGCCGCTTCGTTTTAGCTTCGCTCTGATTGGTTGACATGTATCCCAAACTCGGCATAAAGTTGAAAACTTTGAACCCTATGCCACGAGCCCTAAATCACATTTTGTGACGTAGCACAGACTGGTTGCCTTGGCAAGGGAGTTCGGCTTTAACCACTTATGCCCTCATCTGAATGCAGCTTTAGATTCATATTATTTGGCCATCACTATACCCACATGGATCATCGAAATCACTACCATCTGGCACAGCTTAGACTACTCTAAAAATCGGGTTCACGTTATTATACCTCTAGAATCGCTATTACCATAGCATGACACTAAGCTAGGATATGCAACCCCAGGGGGTTTTATCAAGGTATGTCAAGGAAATTAAACTGATGCTTAGGATCATATAGACAATCAGAACAGGTGAAGATGCAAATTAAAATTATGTACACTTGATAGTTACATTTGAAATACACTCACGTTTGTGAAAATTGCAACACCACGAAGGACTTACGCGAGTGAGCTGAAATTTTCAGGAAATGCAAAGTAGCGCATGATATGCAAATGATTAGAATTGCAAATCCGTAGCGCATGCGTATGCTGAGCAGCGCCCTCTGAACGGCTGATGGATCCGAATAAATAGACGGCTGTAGCGAGGCGTGTATGGTTATCGTGGTTTTATCTGCTAGTGGTAAACATTAACTCAATCTGTACTTATGCCTCGTCGACGAAAGAGAGCGAGATTTGAACAACTTACAGAGTTTGAACGAGGGAAAATCATCGGCCTTCGTGAAGCTGGATTGTCGTATCATGCAGTAGCCTCTCGTGTGCAGCGTAACAGCAGCACAGTGATGCGCGTTTGGAAGCAGTGGACGGACGAGTGTCGGACAACTCGGAAATCCGGGAGTGGACCCCGAAATGTGACGTCAGCTCGCGATGATAGACACCTGGTCCGCATGGCGCGGACGGACCGTACAGCTTCCTCTAGACAATTGGCAGCACTGTGGTCAATAACTAAAGGTGTTTCATTGTGTGCTTCATCAATTCGTAGACATCTGCTGCAGTGTGGACTGCGCGCACGGACTCCTTTATACAGGACCCCCTAACGCACGACCATCGCCGCCTGCGGCTACAATGGCCATCAGCATAGAGACTGGCGTGCTGATTGGCAGCATGTCGTGTTTCTGACGAATACCGCTTTAATTTGTGGTACCATGATGGCCGCATTCGTGTCAGACGCTATGCCGGTGACGCCACCTTCCGGAGTGCATTATCGAACGCCACAGTGGACGAACACCCGGAGTTATGGTCTGGGGTGCCATAGCATATCATAGACGATCTCAATTGCTACGAATTGTGGGCAATCTGAACAGCAACCGGTATATCCGTGAAGTTCTACAGCCCGAAGCTGTCCCTTCCTTCAAAGCTTGCCAGGCGCTGTATTTCAACAGGACAATGCCCGCCCTAATACTGCTCGGATTGTTAAATCCTTCTTGCAGCGCAGCAGGTACAAGCTTCTTCCTTGGCCTGCGTGTTCCCCGGATATGTCGCCAATTGAACATTGTGTGGGATGTCATTGGTCGGCGTCTTGCTCGTGATCCTCGTCCTGTTGCGTCTGCAGACGAACTTTGGGTACGCGTACAAACGATATGGAATGCTCTTCCTCAGTCAGACATTCAAACTTTGTTTGACTCCATGCCACGTCGTGTAGCAGCACTTATTGCGGCGCGTGGTGGCCACACAAAATACTGATTCTAATCTCTTGTTATTGTTTGTTTGCTTTGAACATTTAATCATTTATTTGTACCACTACCACTCAACTGTGTATTAAATTGCATTCAATTATGACGATTCCTTCTTGGTGTTGCAATTTTCACAAACGTGAGTGTAGATTAATACAAATTTTAAGCTGTTAAATGTTTTGTGTGTTTGGGATCTATTATTGCTACTGAAAACAGATTATATCCTGAAATTCAGAATGCTAAATTTGGTAACCATGACTTTATATTGGTTAAGAATTTTTTAAGGTATAGATTTCTTTCAAGAAAAATGAAGTTTTTGATTTACAAAAAGCTTGTCAGACTTGTTTTGACACATACTTCTATGACTTGGACAATGACAAAGCTGGAGGAGAATTGTATTGCAACTTCTGAAAAAACAAATTTTACAGAACATTCTTGGTGGCATAAATGAAAACAATAACCGGAGAAGGATATATAATTTTGAGCTTAACAAAATATATAGACGACCTGATATCTTAAAAAATATATAAAAATTAACAAAATGTATTGGACGGCTCATAGCAAAAATTATTAATGTCATTAAATTGACATCGTATGAAAATGTTAATTATTCCTAATTTTAACAGACTGCAAGAGAATATGTTAAAATAAATGAACTCGATAATACGATCAGTGTGGAAAACTTTAACGATGATTTAACTTCAGACTGAAGTTAAATCATCGTTGAACGACACATCAAACACAAACTTCCAAGGCAATAGATCTAGATACACAGTGTATTTAGTAAAATCTAGATACACAGTGTCATTTTATAGCTAAGTGCATGGGAGAGTGTCAATTATTAATTAAATAAAATATGTTAACAATATTGCTTGAAAAACAAGTTATGAGGAAATAATATTTAAATTTACTGAAAGCTTTACTATAACATAGATCAGGAATTCCCTACCTTCCCTTGCATCAGCCCCTTTAAAAGGAATGGCTTCTTTATTGACTTCCTTACATTTTTCTTTATATTACAAAGTATACAATATAACAGCAGTAAAAATAATTCTATATAAATAACTTAAAGACAGCAATTAGAATATGAGCACAAGCTTTGAAAACATTGTTAATTAAATTTATGTTTAATTATTTTTCATAATTTGTTTTTAAATTTACAAATATAAACAAATTTTCAGGGGGAAAAAATCACAGATTCTAATTGCATAAAAGTTCATTTTCAATTAATATGGTGATTGTGATTGACATGCATTTTTTTAATATTTGGCATAAAATTGCTAAATTCAGGTTTTAAATCACCTCATTCAGAAATATTTAATCTGTTTCCCATTCTAGTTTTGCATTCTTTGTATCTGTTTATTCTGTCTCCTTGTATTCTTGAATTTTACTTTTTTGCATTTCACTTACTGCATAAATAAACTCATAAAATATTTATACATTAATATTTATACTCATAAAAACACTCTTAATAGTTTAAAAAATACTTTTAATACTTTTGAAACAGTAAAATTTACTCGTAAAATATTTACATACTTAAAAAATATTATTGATTTAAAAATATGTTAAATATTTGTTTTCTTATATTTATTTTATATGATTTTCCTTATTACATGATACAATTGTATATCAGTAAACAATTATCAATTTTAATAACTTTTTTTTTTCTTTTAAATCAATGGGATCTTTATGCCAATCAACTATCGGTGCATATCCTGTTATCGAGCCCTTATCATGGACTCCCTTTAAAATTTCACTAACTACTCAGAGGGTCAATATCAACCCCACTGAGAGCACCTGACATAGATTAAAACTTATTACATATTATTCATTTATTCCAAAACATTACCATAAAACCCTTCAAGCATATTTAATTGAAAAGTTTTTGTTATAGTGGTATACAAAAATTAAGAATTTTACCCAAATTTAGCAGCAATACTAATGATGCGCCTTTCCAAAGCATCAACATCCTGAAAGAAAAGTAGAATGCAGTTATAAATCTATCATTTTAAATATATATCTATCATTTTTAATATATCCCATCATAAAGAATAATGAAAACATGAAAACACAAATTTGTAATGAAGCAGAATACTAGCTCATGATACAAGTTTAATATCTTTACAAAATATCTTTACAAATGTGAAAAAGTACAGTAAACTCTTGCCGAACATGAGGGTTATGTTATTATTAACACATTGCGCACAAGGCAAAATCACATTCTGCAAAGTTAACTTTCTATGGAAGAAACAGGTTAGGTATAGTGTAAATTAAGAAAGTATGTATAATTTATGCAAACTCAAATATTATTGTAATTAAAAGGAGAAAAAGAAGTAAATGTTAACTGAAAAGCTTTTCAATATTGCTTAGTAAGCAGGTACATAATACAACCAGTTTTTGAAATAGCTGGAGGTTGTTGCTTCGGACAATGTCTGATGTAACTTATTAAACGTTTCATGGTTAAGAGTGAAAAGTTTTTCAATATCTCTCATAAAGTGTCCTCCTCTTTCTTCATTTGGGTCAATTTCCATTAAAAAATTAGACAGCTCCTGTGCATTTTCAAACAATTTGTTTAACTTATTACACATTTAAGTTTCTTTATCTTCTTCACTATAGCTGCTTTCACTGTTGGCCAATTCTTCATTTGTCTTTTCACTATCGCCATTCTCATCTAATTCTTGGATCTCTCTTTTTTCCATATCTGAAAAATCCTTTGCCACCTACTGTTTTTGCTATCTGTATGATTTCTTTGGCTTCACTTTCAATAGATGGAAATTCTTTAAAATTGTTGACAAATTATGGCTGGTGCTCATGACATGGGAACAAGGGAATGAAATATGGAAAGAAGTTAATTCACTTGTTTCCATGCGAGTTTGATTATTTCTATACAATGTCTTATACTAAATTTCTTCCAAAATGCCATTAGTGTGTCATGTTTTCTTTCATCTAGTGCTTTATTTGCAGAGATGTAAACATGGCTGACATAGATGGAATGTTGTAAGGGCTTCATTATTATTTCCTGCAGCCCTATCGAGTACAGGAAGAATGTTAAAACTTATCAAAATTTCATTGCCAACTCAGAGTTTGCTAGTTTGCAAGTAGTTTTTCTGTTCTAAGCAATGCTTGACTTTTTTTAATGAATGGATTTTCAAACCAGTCATTAAAGAGGATTATCACCATGTGACCAGTGCTCTGCAGTATACCGTGTATAACTGAAATTTTTGTCTTGAACAAACATAATGGTGACAACTAAAATTATACGTATACACATTTCAGAACTTGTGTTTGGCGAAGGTTTACTGGATTTTTTGAGTGATTATGATATTTATAATGGGAAGGGGAGAGAAGCTGATCAACAATGAATAAACTATCAAAACACACAAAACTCTCTATAAAAAATAATCTGATGTATTTGAAAGATCAAGAGCACTCTCACTATTATTAGTAAAACAGGAGGCACTTCATGTGACAATGTTTGCCCATGGATAGTTTAATAACATCAAAAGATGGGAAAAACAGCCTTAAAATATCTACAGAATTTACCTAATTTAATATAAAAATATCAATAAACATATAAATAAGTATTTCCATAGCATTTTAATTAGGAAAAAGCAAAAGTTTGTTTATGAACTGTTCATAATGCTTCTTGAAATTATTTCATTTATGCTGTATTTCTAATTTTAATATCTGGAAGGTTGTAGAGTCATTAGGTTTACTGGAAGCAGAAAAGATTGTTCGCCGGGAATCGAACCATGGACTTCTGGAATACCGGCCCAGAGTGCAACCGTTACACCACGAAGGACGCTTGGAAAGTGGGAGAAATACCTTATATACTCCCCTTTTTAAAGGGCGACTAGGGTTTTAGGAGACCTCGTCGCCAAATCCTGGGTGTGGAGAATCATCATCCACAGCCCTTTTAGTTCGGGTGCCACTGCAGAGTCATTAGGTTTATTGGAAGCAGAAAAGATGAAAAATTAACAACCGCCTTCGCCGGGAATCGAATCATGGACCTCTGGAACACCGGCCCAGCGTGCATCCGTTACACCACGAAGGACGCTTGGAAAGTGGGAGAAATACCTTATATACTCCCCTTTTTAAAGGGCAACTAGGGTTTTAGGGGACCTTGTTGCCAAATCCTGGGTGTGGAGAATCATCATTCACAACCCTTTTAGTTTGGGCGCCACTGTAGAGTCATTAGGTTTATTGGAAACAGAAAAGATGAAAAATTAACAACTGCCTTCGCCGAGAATCGAACCACGGACCTCTGGAATACCGGCCCAGCATGCTACCGTTACACCACAAAGGACGCTTGGAAAGTGGGAGAAAATACCTTATAAGGTATCATTCTTTAAAAGAGAATATCCCAATTTAAGCTTTTAAATTTAGCAAAAAGACAACTTAAGTTTGCTATATGTTTTCATTTTTTTTTTTTTTTTTTTTAAAGAGAAGAGAAAAAATTCTGCAGAAATTTTTTTTTGACTGAAACTGAAAAAGCTATTTGGTGATTTAACCCCTCATTTGGTAACACTTAACAATTTTTATGATCTGTTTTGACCTTATTGGGAAAATCATTTGTGACTTTATTTCAACTTAATAAAATTATTTTAGAATATTTTGGTCAGATTAACCAAATTGTTGATCATAATAAGTGATACAATTTCCCTTATTTTTCTATATAAATGGGTGGAACTTCAGCAAAATGATAACAATATCTGAACGATAATCTTAATCTAATGACATTAAGTGGCATCCACTGCGCTACATAAATTTTAATACTTTATTTTGTTTACTTATTTTTTAATCAATTCTGAAAACTGACCTACATCTAAGCTTGTCCCTTATTTAAAATCTTGCAAATTTTATTCCTCAAAGTTTAACATCTCATTATTAGTTCATTTTTTAAACCAGATAAAGAATTTTTTTTATCTCGCTTTATATATGCCACTATTAATTTACCATTACCATGCAGTTATCTTTTTCTTTTAATAATTTTATTTTTAATATATCCACTGTTTTGAATGCCATTTATTTGACTGAATAATTAAAATGCATCTAGCATTTTATTTGTAACAATTTTTACAGCTACTAATATGATCATCAATTAAATTACTGGCCATAAAAATTGAGAAATAGAACAATAATTTTATATTCAAAATTATTTCACAACAGCTTACTTTATTTTAATTACCAGTTCATTTTGTCTGGCTGATCACTTGGTCTCATTTCAGTTATTGGTCATATTTGAAATCTGATTTCATTTTTGATTTAAAATGATCTGATTATCCTGTGTTCCTAAAAATTAACACTAAAGACAAATATTTTCCCTTTTTTTAAGACATTTCCCCCTCCATTAAGTATAGCTCCTGATAATTCGCTTCCTTTAGCTCTATTTTAAAAATGCTTAATTTTATACACTGCTTTTATAAACAGTGCTACTAATGATTATTTTACTATGCTAATCCCAATGTTACTAATACTTAAGAAAACGTGATATGGACACAGTGACTTCCTTGTATGGTCTATTAAACTATACACATTTTTTGCTGCACTTCATTTAAACTTATTTCCTAAAATTATTCTGACTTAATTAATCAATCGCTCATGGCAAGCTGAAAATAGATCAAAAACAGCAAGTTCTAAGATTAAATATCCCAGCCAATTTTTGTCATACGAGAGCTGTCTCTCTCTTTTTTATAATGGGTATAAAACTTTTCCAAATATAAGTATAGGAACCAGTAGACCTCATTAAAAGTTAGATTTCATTATATGTCCAAAATTAACTTAAAAAAAAATTGAAATTGGCAAAACATGACTATTTCCTTCCTTTAAAACAATTCTGTGACTGAAAATACAAAACTGTGACCAATGATTATGAAAATAAAGGCAGGGTAAGGACTTTGAAGGTGGGTAAGGGTTGCATTACACATCTACTTTCTCCTACACTTTTTCCTCAGATAGAATAATCAAGATTTCTTTAATCAATATACTCTTACTTTATATATATATATATACACACACACACATTTGGTACTGCCGATTGCACAAAAGAGAGAGCTGTGTTAAATATATGTTATAACAGTCTCATGTACAAAATTCCTACATTCTATGACTAATCATTTTTGAATTATGCGAGATACATACATAGGCAAAGATGTCACGAAAAATTAATTCTGAATTCCACTTTACAATCTGCTTTTGGGGAAAAAGAAATTTATTCTGCTGTACATAAAGACATCACTCATGCAAAAAAATAATCAAAATGGATTTAGGAATGATCAAAATGGATATTTCCTTTGAAATATGATACCTGAAATTTTTTGAGATTACAACACTTCCTTTTCTTTGTAGAAGGAAGTAAAAATATGAAGTTGAAGTTTTAATGAAGTAATGAATTTCTTTTCATTTGTTTACATAAAATATATACAGCATTGATAAAGTTTCAATATTTTTTAAGGAAGCCAAAAGAGACCTTATTCCCCCTAAAAAAATACAGCTTTAGTTCACAAAATAGCTTTAGAGGTTCTGCAGCTGGTAAAGTTTGAACAGCACTAGTGTGCAGCAATGATATTTCAATTTTGCCATGCATATACATGGCAGCACATTATATTTTAGCATATATTTTAATCACATCTTTAAAACAGTCAAATATGAAATTAAAAACAAACCTCTTTAGTTCCTTCCATGAGTAGAGTGACAACACACATTTTATGAATATCAAATCCTTTAATTTGAGTTACATAGAACTTTTTAAGATAATCCATAACTGAAGCAACCAATGATGTTGACTCTGGTTTTAAGGCATGACCTAATTTTTAAGCAAATAAACCTTTCATGAATTAACACAGACATTTTTAAAAACATAAATGCATCACTAGAATATTAAGGAATAATCTTTCTATGGTACTATAATCATGACCCAGAGGAATATTTCAAGTAAATGAGATAACTAAAATTCAGGCTGCTCTGACACTTTAGTTTTATCTCTTTCTTTAGACCAGGAGCAAAAGGTTAACATTAAAAAACAAAATATTTCATCAGATATTTGAATCTGAAATTTTAGATTATTCTTTTGCACTTTAAAAGAGATCTTATAATTAATAAAAATTTATTTATTTATGTAAAGAGACTTTTACATAACTAAAAATGGTGCTCACTACTGCCAACAGATAAAACAAAATCTTTACATATAAATAAAATTAAAGTCCCGATTTTGTAAGTTCTAACCACATTTTTCATATTGAAGATTCTTAGATACTTTTCAGTTATTGGAACCGGGTTCAGAAATGTATGTATTTATGAATAAATGTAGATTTGTGTATATACACACATGCATGCATACATACATTTCTGAATCTGGTCTTGTAACAGAAAAGTACCAATTTTTTCTTCAAAAATATTACTTTCAATAAAATAAAAAAGAATAGCATATATTAAGACAAAATATAACATTAATGTAGTGTGTTATCTATTGCTTTTGCAACTGTATCAAAGTGCAAACCAATTGCCTGAGACTGAAATAGCATGTGGGAAAAAATCATGATCACCATAGTTAATGGGCCAAAACTTATTTTTTTTAGAAAACTAAATAAAATTTTTTTTACTGAATATTTATCAAAACATATTAATTTTTTTTTACTGAATATTTATCAAAACATGCATAAACAGTAATAATAATGATGCAAAGAAGAAAATTCCAACTTATTTTTTATCTAAATTTGAAATGTTACTATCTGCAAGAAATTTCTAGTTGTATTTTGTAATTCAAATTGTACCGATATCTTTCATATTAAATTTAAAAACAAACATTTACTTCAAGTAATTCTAATGTGTTGAATAAACTGCCAAATCACTTGCTTTTAACCCTCTGACAGCTCAATTTGGGGACCTAAATCGCTTCCAAAATTGCGGGGGGGGGTGGTTCATATTTTAAATTTATATATATATAGGAGAATTGAAAAATGCACTTTTTCTTCCTAGAAAATATTTTTTATATAGATTTTTATCATGAGAAACTAAGTTGCCAGAAAAACCAATTTCAGATGTTATCACAAAAAATATATTTTTTAATACATTTCAGTCGAATTACAGTTAATTTCTATTTATTGCATAATATAAAAAAGTAAAATACAGCCAAAAGTCGTTAATTCAGACACCCATAATCTGGACCTCAAAGCTACAAACTTTCTGTGCATGCGTCGCGTTGACGCATGTGCGTAAGACCTTTACGGCTGCGAATATGCGGGTGCGAGTGCGCAAAATACGTTTACAAATGCGCATTTAATGCATGAGCAATTTTATAAAAGTAAGCTTGAACTTTCGATTATGTCAAATAGAATTTCTGATACATATTTACTAATATGTAAAGGATCTACAAAGCGAAAGTATGTTTCGAAGTCTATTAAACAAAAAGTGAAATTGCTCCAAAAAATGGATAAAGGCATATCTTTTGTTTATCTAAACTTTAACATTTGTTTATCTAAACTTTGTTTATCTTTAACGCCGTGGCACGCAATGAATTGGAAGTTGAGCTGTCAGCACTATCCTTATCTTCGGGGCAGATGTTTTTATTTTATTTGGCCTATAATTCCTTACTAAATGTAGTATTTCATCTCGATGTACTCCGTCTTTGATATTATTTAAATCAAATTCCTCGTCATTATAATTCGCTTCCGATAGCGAAGAAAGTACTAGAGGTTATTGAAAACGAAAAAATTTCGATTGACAAATTAGTCGGTACTCTCGACACAGCAATTACAGGACTTGAACAGCGGAACTTTGTAACTGAACAAGAAATTATGTCTGTTTATAGAATTCAAGAGAATGTATTATCACATAAAAAACGAAGCAACTTAAACAACTTACATTGAAAGAAATGTTTAATAAAGTAAACAAATAAATATTAAGCTTTTTTTTTTTTTTTTTTTTTTTTTTTTTTTTTTTTTTGTAAATTTTGATACCCTTTAGATCATAATTGTTCTTTATTTCATAAATTACGGTTTCATATTTTTAATTTTATAATTTCTGCATGCCATCTTACCAGATTTAAACTGATGATCTATAATCCGGAATTGCCGAAGTCCCGACGAGTCTGGATTAACGACTTTTGACTGTATATACAATTTAAGAAAATATAAAGCGCTGAGAGAAAAATACCTTAAAAATGCGTTTTAGTATGATAGAGTTCAAACTTCACAGTCTTTGCACCAGATTCAATAAATCTAATTAATAATCAATCTAATTATTAATCTAATCAATAATTTAATTAAATAATCAAGATAATCGCTGAATGTTTTCTAGTAGCCTTTTCTGTAAGGAAAAATTGGCAAAAAATGAAGTTTAAGCACTAATATCACCTTCAAATGCCGCAATTTAGCGGGACAACTAATGATATCTGTTGGCCAAAATGTAAACTAAACACCTAATACTGTATATAATTTATTTCAATGGTAAAACGAGGAAAAAACGGGATGCGCTCCTCAATAAAGGAAGAAAAACATATGCCTGCAGAAATCGAGGGATGAGCAAATTTTGCTGCATTTGAGTTGCCTGCGGAAATTGCAGAATGAGCAAATTTTGCTGCATTTGAGTTGCTCGTAGAAATCGCGGGATGATCAGCCAGAGGATTAAGTAAAGTGAAGTTATATAATGAAAACTTTCTCAGTGAGATAAAACTGCAGAATAAAAAATAATGACCTATTTTATGATGCATACAGGTAAAAAACATATGTATAAACATATATATACATACACTGGTCGACACTAAAAATGCAACACCAAGGAGTGGTCAAAAAGTGATGAAATTTGGAAAAAGACAGTGACAGCAAGCAGCAATAAATGATCTTTATTTCAACATGATAGTGAGAATACAGAGCGAGAATGGCGTCGGCTCAGTAGGATGTAGGACCACCGCGGACAGCGATGCATGAAGAAACATGTTTAGGCATAGAGTCAATAAGAGTGCGGATGTTGTCCTGAGGGATGGCTCTCCATTCTCTTTCAACCATTTGCCACAGTTCGTCTTCTGAACGAGGCAGGGGCAGAGTATGCAAACGGCGTCCAATCACATCCCACACATTTTCAATTGGTGACAAGTCAGGAGAGTACGGTGGCCAGGGAAGCATCTGTATACCTCGTAGAGCATGTTGGCAGATGCAAGCACTGTGTGGTCGGGCGTTATCGGATCTTTCGCCGATAGAAAACATGTGGTCCATTGTTGCTAAATGATTGACCCAGATTACATTCCAAGCTGCCACACCAGATCAACTTTGGCAACGTGTGAAAGCTGCTTGGTCTGCTGTACCCCAAGAACACATCCAAAGTCTCTTTGAATCAATGCCAAGGCGTGTGGCAGCGGTGATCTCCAACAATGGCGGCTACTTTGGCTGTTGATTCTGGAACCACACTTCACAGAAGTCTATAAATTTAATCATTTGATACTTGGTCAACATGTTAGCTACTAGATAAATTTTGTTGTGATATCTCTTGTCTTTCTTGGTGTCGCAATTTGGGTGGCCAGCAGTGTACATATATAACTTTCTGTTTCCCTAGATGCCCCCCCCCTTTTTTTTTTTGTGGATCATTTTAAAGGGAAAAATGCCTTGCAATTGTGAAAAAGAAACATATTTTGTTCCTAGTTAAAGAGAAAGTATATCAGCCGTAGAAATCTTACTTTACTCAGATAAGTTAACAGACTTTGATTTCCTGATATCCTTCATTTTCTAGCTTTCTTTAGAGTCATAATGAAAAAGAATACGAAAGAAAAATAAAATGTCAGACGGTTGGGTTTCATTTATATTGAGAAAGATACTTTAGCTTCAGTTTTATTGAATTTTTTCCTCCTACGTTGCTTTATTTTGTGTATTAAAGAAAGACACTCTGCAGTGATAAAATTGGTTGGAGGGGGGAGATAATGATGTAGATATTTAAAGCGTGAAGCCCTCATATTCTTTTAGAAAAGAAAGTGAAATTTGTTGCTTCAGGAGGCATCTATGTTTATGAACTGCTCTGTTATGCCTAAATTATAAGGTGCTAAATGACACTAAAATTTTTAAAAGTGCGTTGGAATAAAAGGAAAAGTTTATTCAAAGTATCTTAGCAATGGCGTAGCATGGGGAGGAGGCAATCCACCCGGGTGGCACATTTTGGGGAGTGCAAAATTTCAAACTAAATAAAATACTGTTCGACATTGAAAATGCAACACCAAGAAGGAGTGGTCAAAAAGTGATGAAATTTGGAAAAAAGACAGAGACAGCAAGCAGCAACAAGTGATCTTTATTTCAAAATGATAGTCAGAATACAGAGCAAGAACGGCATCGCCTCAGTAGGATAAGTAATAAGTGATGGTGGACGTGGGCACTGTCCCTTTGCCGTAAAGATTAATCAGTACAGCACCTCGTCCACCCTTATCTAAAGTTGGTCATCAATAAACTCAGCAGCTTATCTAAAGTCACGTCATCAATAAACTCAGCATAGGCTTTTAGTCTACACATGTTACCGTTCTCTTTTGTTGACACAGAAACTATTGAATGCACATATTTACTTTTTGATTCAACAATTAGCTTTAGCTATAATAGCTTATCTATTTGCCGATCAACTTCATTTCTTAGAACTTCAGGTATTCGATATGGTTTCTGCTTTTTTGACATACTTCCAGGTTTCAGTTTGATGCTGTGTTCTCCAACATTGGTGATTTTCGGAATGGCAGCTCTTAGGTTCTCATGCCTTCTTAAAACTATCATAAGTTCTTTCCTCTTATGCGGTTCAAGGTGCGTAAAATCACATTTTTCATTAGAATAGTGTTCTTTT